TCCTACCTACTGTTTACTAACTATGTATTCAGCTCTATAGTGCGACCATATGCCGTCTACAAATCCCGACGTGGAGCGTGGATGACCCACCAGAAGTGTGAGCTGACGAGATTGCAAATGGGCATCTTGCCTTTACATAGTAGGATGACTTGCAATACCACCGACATTACGTACAGTAGACCTAGTCATTGGGAGTGGAATTGTAGTCGGTGATATTCCTGCTGCGTGAGGAGTGATTATTCCGCGATCCACTGAAGAGTGAGGTGAATTATCACATAGCTGCCACATTGTATAATGAACCGAATTTTGAAAGATCCATTTCCATGTGTATGTTACTTTGATGTAAGGTAGGTTATCCAAAGTATCCATACCTGGGCAGCTATAATACCACATACTATGTATGTATGTATGTATGTATGCACGTAGATGCTACGATGTATGTAGGTCTATGTAGTATCTGTAAGGATGTACTACATATTACCTACTAAATAAGTAGGTACTTACTTACATACGTCTGCCATAGTATTCATCATAGTCTTTCAGGGTTGCTATATGATCTCCCACGCCGTTGGTACCCCATCTTACCCCTAACTAAGAAGTCCCGCGATGTGACATACCTACCATTGCCTAACAACTATCAGGTAGCTACTAGATAGGCTACCTACCGCCTTTGATTTGAAGCTCTCCAGCCACTTACAATCCGTGCTGTCTTTCGGCACATCGGTATTCGGAGTGTACGAGACATCAAGGAGCGCATTGGACAAAGACCGAGCGAGTATTGAAGAAGGAGGAAATGAATATCGAATTCAGCTTCCAGTAAAAGCATCGAAGAAAGCCTGCGGGACTTCGCCACGATGTACAATTTTTTTGCCTCATATCCATAGGTCGTCGGTCAGTTATCAACTATATCCAAGCTGTCCTACATACACATGCATACCTCACAGCTTGCCTAGGTATGTTGCATGTGGCGTCGCAGTCTCAAGAGAATTTCAGGTTTGTGTCACCGTTGCGTCTATTTTCTATTTCAGTCAAGCAATAAATAACTATAGATATATTTAAATAAATAAATAAATAAAATATATATTCTTACATATATATTTATTAGTACATAATAGCAAACGCATCTCAACATGAACACCCCCCCGGCATGGTTCCCCAGAAAGATTTCCCGCTAAGGGTCTAAGGTGATATGTCAGTAGGTTATGTACTGTACCTATTTTATGGCGCCAGACATTGTCAGATCTTTGGTGACCCGAATCTCTGGAATGAACTAAGCAAGCGTTGAATCCAAATTCCTCCCATGCTGCGCAGTCGGATCGAGGCTAAACAGAGATCATTCATGCCCAGACGCGACGGCGTAGCCGTATTTCAACGACATGCGATAAGATTCTATCATATATCATTTTATCATGCGGTAGCTACTGACTAGGTAGGTAGGTAAGGTATGATGTGTACGGTATATACGGCATGTACTATATAGCATACATAAACATCCTTTCGCCCTGCCCGCTGATGCATATATGTACCCCCGTTTGGAACGAGTAACTTTACTTCCTTCTGCGTTCTGCGTTCTGCGTTCTGCGTTCTGCACACGAATGTTGTCGGATGTGTGCTGTTGTTGCCTTCGAACTTTACCGAGTGTCCAGTGATTTTCTCTCCACTCTCTTGCACACCGCCATCCTCCTGGGAAGGCGATGGGCGCGCAGATGTACAGCGCCATCAGCTTTGTATACATGATCCGTAATAACCCGTACATCGAAAGGGCGTTGAAGGGCGAGGGCATGTGATGGATGGACGTTCGGAGGATGACCCCGACTTTGATGTGTTGTGTTGAGCTCAGCCCGCTTCCGCTTGGCCAGAGCTTGGCCCTTTACATATCGACGTCGGTGCTTTACCAGCCCAGAATACGAGTGATATACGAATACTGGTTTAGTGTGTACGAGTACCGAGTACGTCGGCATCCCGCCCTTGGCCCGTAAGCATATGCGAAATACATATCTCCCTCCCTTTTTTTTTCCCCCTTTGGCGAAGATATCGGGCAATTCCTAGGGACCGTACGATAGCGGCTCCCTCCTCTCAAGGTGGATTGGTTGCGGACGATGCGGGCATTGTCGGCCAAATTATTACCTGTCAGGTATGCAAAAGGCAGGGTCTGTTCTTTGGAACCATCCATCACAAACCTCGTCCACCCCTACCCCATTTCCTCCCCCCCCCCCCCCCCCTTCCCACATCCCATCCACACCCCTCCCACATTCATCTGCAGAGCCACCTCAGCCAGTGTTCACGTGGTCGAAAAGCTAGTTTGTACCCTAGTAACCGCCACGGTGGTCCCCAGACTCGCCAAGATGGTCCAAGTGGACACTGTCCAAGCTGCAGAGTGGTTAGTGTAACAGTCTAAAGGAAGCTGGGCTCTCACGCCAGCCGCCTGCAGAGAATATAATATGATATAATACCTGTTAGGTACATACTACAGACGACAGACTATGTAGTATGATGCTACATATGTATACCTAGTATCAAGTAAATACCTACCTACACGCATGCGTATGTACGTGTATGTATGTTTCATTACAATAATACATACCAAGGTCTCGACCTACAAGGTATCCCATCCCAAACCTACATAATACACACGCAATGATTTAATCTAATCTAGGTAGCCGCAACAGTCGAGTACATATATATGTAATCATGTATGTACAGACATGGGTGAGTGACCTACAATGGCCCTACCGACATACATGCATAGTAACTATCGTCAGTTCCATCTTCCAACGGTTTATTGAATAATGTTTCATGGAATACTAGTAGCACACACAGAATTGTGTAGTATGTCAACACCCACCAACATCTACATCAGTCGGTATCCAAGATCTATTTTATTATAATTATCCCGTACTGCATATGTGCCTAGGTATGTATGTAGTTAGGTAGCCAAGCATTATACGCTCACAATACATCATCATCACCATCATCATCATCACATTACCGCATAGCTCCAGTCTTCCAATATTACATACATCCAGTCCATCTGTGAACATCTCGTGGATATTCTCTACCTAACCCCCTTAAGTCTAGGCCATCTCATCCCACAAGTACGTAGGTACTGGACAGATGGGCCTCGGTCGAGCCATGACCCTCTCCCAAGTCTCGGCTATATTTCCGCATTCATCACACTATTCCGCATTCAACCACAACGTCCATGCGGTATCCCCGCCAGAATCCCGGTCAGACAAGCCCGATTTTCTTTTCCCATAATACCAAGTCGACTCAACCTTCCCTCTAGAACTTTTCCAATTCATCATACCTAGCAGCCATGTGCTGTGTACTCCAAACAACATGCTATTATGTACATACATATACATATACATATACATATACATATGTACACTAGGTAGGCGGTCGAATCTTACGTGCATCTCACCATATTAAGTACTTTGTATACACATGGATACCTACCTACTACATACATAATATAGATATTTACATATTACAATTTACCACTACATAGTTACTATGTAAGTACTTATCCATGGATGTATGAATTATTTATGTAGTCATGGTACATGTAGGTATGTATGTTGCGCCCTTTGGGCATTCATTGAACATTCATCCCTCGTAGGATTCAAAGAGTTACGGGAGGGAAAAGCGACAACACAGTTGATATGTGCATGTGGTGATCTACCTTACTCCCCCTTACCCACCCACCCCCTACTAACCTATCAGGTTATGACGATGAAATAGACAAAATAGAGACGCATGAGGAAATCCCAAACGACAAGGCCCCCTCGAGTCGGGGGGTTTGAGATCTTAGATCCATCTCGAACCCAGTGGTCAAGTTCCCAGGCGCTATTGAAAATGCCTACCTAACTAAACTAATGCCTAATACCAATCGATTCGTTCAATGACAAGCCTACCATAGTAGCCATAGTGCCTACCAGTCTACCGACCTACCGGCCTACCTAGGTACGTAGTGTATTGGGGGTCACATCAATTGGGACCTATCTCTTTCGGCTATTTGATTCCCCACAGGCCAAGGCCAAGTTCGAGTACCTAGTCTCACCCGTCACTCTGGTAGCGAGGAAAAAACGAAGACCTCAAATTCGACGACAATCAAGCTTATTGGCGTTTACTAAACAAAGCCATACCGTCTTGACTCAACGATCGTCCAATCAAGGCGCAAATGCCAACGTGCCAATAGGTACATACATACATACATACATATATTTAATACATCCATGATCATAGTACACCGCTGTCTTCGGCACTGCAATTATTATTAATGGCTTGAGGAAATTCCGATATTGTTCTAGCCCAAGTTAGCTTCCACAGCTGCATAATCCCTCGACGATCAACTTTGTAATCTCAAAATATCGAATATACTACTGTAGGTTAATATACACGTACATATCAGATCTCCGAATACTTGATTTAAACACCAAAAAAATAATAAACTAAGGGGGTTGTACGCGTGTTCACATCATGCATGGGGCGTGTACACTATGTTAGCTATGTACATAATGTTGACATGCTTGAAGCTTCCTCTTTGACCAGATACATACGAATAGAAACCTAGATGCAAATCCAAGGTAAGCCCTAAGCCTTAAGCCTGCCTACTTGCCTGCCTGCCTACCTGCCTGTCTACCTACATACATACATACATACATACATACATATGTATTCAGGGTCTTGTGTTGATTTCTGCACGTTCTTGCTACATACCAGGTCTGGCCACGTTTGAAGCAGTGAGTTAGAGTTAGCGTGATCTCGAGCTATCCCGCTGTAAACAAGAACTACCTACTAATAACTACTGTATGTATGTGCATACATGGCAGGTAGGTAAGGTAAGGTATCCATCCATGGGTCCTTGCGTTTCAGTTGCAAGGTGGCCGTGCTATTTCTATACTATGCTATGTAAGTCGGCCAACGGCATATTGCCTCGAGTCCCTCAGGGCCTCTACCAACCTCCTCCGTAAAGTCCGTACTCGTACCTTTCCCTCCTATCATTTTCCCAAAAAGGGATCTTTTCATTATATAATATTATATATGATTATGTAACATTCCGCCTTTGAATCCCAAAATACAATACGAGTTTTCTCCTTGTATTATCCGAATTCTTGAATACATATCACATCTGGGTACCCTAGCTTATCAGCTACATACATAGAAGTTTACATATGTATGTATTGTACATATGTACTACTAGTAGTAACACACCTGGCATATGATATTGAAGCAATTCAAATGCCATGCCAGGCTAATCGATTCACACACAATCGAGAATCCTGGAGAATTAAGCTAAAAACCAAAAAAAAAAGCTGCAGCCCAAAATCATCCATACGTAACTCAGTTCGCCAGCCCTGTCAGTTCTCCATCATCATCAACGATCTCCCCCAATGTGGGTAATATCCCAGGAATAGTTTCGGCATCATTATAGTTCGCCTGATCCGCTCAACCTCTAAATAGGGGTAAAGAAACAAGCACTAGACAAGTCGGCGCCAAATGAGGTGATAAATCGACCCACCAACCAGACAGAGCTCCCCGCCTTAAATACTTATATCCCACATAGGCACTCCAGGCATCCTACCTAGACCCGGACGGCGGTGATGAGAAAGGATGTTGATCGAAGGGGGTGATGCATGTGTAAATGTATTCCTATGTACGTGTAGTAGTATAACTGTATAGTATGTACATATCATACATACATGCCTAGGCACAATACCTACGTTGCAGTACATAGTACATGCCTTAGCTTGATGTCCCTCTTCTTCAATGTTCTTTTCTTCTTTACTGCCATGTAGTTACCACGTACTACATATGTATGTATGTATGTAGGTATGTAGGTAAGGTAGTTTATGTAAAGTGACCAACATCCAAAAGGGAAATCCCAAATGGACCGATGCGGAAAGCAGATCTCTAGCCACCCCTGCTCGCCAAGCACTGCAGCGCCGATCACTCTCAACCAGGCATCTTTCAGCTTTGCAACTTTGGTATTGGTAGCTTGGAAAAACTTGGGCACCTTATGTAAACTGCTGGAAACGGCAGTTTAGATGTCAGTGCCTAGGCAGGTCCATACACACACCTACATATCATACCTACATACACACACCTTACCTAGGCATACATATGTACATACTACTAAGGTAGGTAGGTAGATATTACTGTAAGTATGTACAACATGTGGACGAAAGAAAAAAAAAATCAACCAAAAATCCACTTTGTGGGTAGGCGAAATTTCAAGAAAAGCAGGAAATACAATCCAGATGCTCTTACAAGGGTTAACGATGGGTTTGCCAATGTCAAATAGGAACGTTCTCGGCGCCATTGACGTCAACGACTGCGAAATAACACACGTTTTTTTCTTTCTTTCTTCTTTCTTCTCTTTCTTTGGCAGAAAAAAAAACCCGACGAAGCAAGCCCCCTTAAGCGTATTCGTGTTTTCTTGGGATTCTCCTTATCCCCGAAGGAGGAGCGGCATTGGCTACTGGCTGCGTATGTAAAAGGTCGGCTTAAGGGCCATTATTGGATTCTTCTATAATACATACATCCAATGTAATGAACGGAAATGAAATGAAATGAGTTGAAACTGACGCGTTATATCTTTTCTTATTTTCGGTCATTTTTTCCTCTTTCTATCTTAACCTCAACCATTGCAATTACACTTACACATACCCATACCCATACCCATAACTACCTACTTACCTACAGTACATACATGCATACCGACCTAGTGTATCTAGCTAGGGATTCTTCAGCATGTCCAGTTTAGCAATCTTGTTTATTATTAGACGAGAGCTGCGCTGCGAGGGCATTAATTCTGACATGCCCCCTGCCCACTGCCATCCATCCATTCCTAATCCCATCCCTTCCTCCTTACGACCCTCTTTCCTCAAGTTCCATTCGGTCAAACAACCCGAATTTGCCAGATGCGCATATTGCATTGTTGGGCTTTGCTTTTCACCACACACACACTCACACACACACTTGCCTATGGTCCTAGTTATGTACATATGTAAATGGCTGTGTGTATGTATGTAGGGTATGTATTGTGTACATGCTGAGGTAGCTTAGCATCTTCCTTTTCCAGTTCAGATCGTAGCCCCCTTGTCGGAGTCCATAAAGTGGAGAGCACGACTACTACATACTACCACTACTCCATCACACAATGACACTGTCGAGGCGTTTGACAAGGAACAGAAGCGCGCCAGTCACTACCTGGTTAGCTCGAGTCTTTTTTTTCTCTTGTCGCCCGTGAACCGTAAAACCGTCAAGAGGCTTGGGGGGTTTCCCCCTGGGCTAGTATAGGGCAGATATATGTATGATGTGTGTAGTACATGCCTAGGTAGGTAGGTACAGTAGTAGTGAGTGACACACAACTTTATATTCTAGCTACATATTGACGTGCTCTCACATATAATCGTTCCTAGCTGATATCAAGGTAACCTAAGCAAACTCTCAATAATACCTACACAGAATATCTTCTTAAAAGTTGCCCGGTGAAATTGTTGTGATTGTTGTAGGCTTTTGTCGCGCAGGGATCCCGACGATCAGTATGCCCAGGACGAAAGAGAGGCAGAGACATCTGGAGACAAAGAAGCAAGGAAGGAAGCAATACGTTATTTGCTCGATGGCACAGCTGGGAATTGTGGATTGCCGGTTTGTCTTGGGTTCGAATCCAATCCAATCCAATCCCTTTCCCCCCCTCTCTCTGTCTCCCAATTCAGGGTCGGTTTCATGTCTACCACTTCAATGGGATCGCCCATCGTGGTAGGTAGTAGTGTGGTAGAGAGTTGCGCAGCAGTAGACGGACGGTCGGTCGTTATGTTCAGCCCGTCCTCCCCCACCCGCTTTCCCCCTTTCCACGAAGTCATATGACGAATCGCGAGACGCACGCCGTACATCTAACCGCATAATCCAGATGTCAGCTCCTCTCTTTCTGTTGTGTTACATCAGCTCTCTCTCTCTCTCTCGCTCTACCTTGGGGCCCATTGAATTGTCGGTCAATGTTTCAGAGGTGTGAAGTAACGCTTTCTTACAACCTATTGTGAATGTATGTATGTATGTATATGTAGGTATGCTCGAGGTATTAGCCAATCGCAACAGCTGGCACGCCGCCTGCTTTGGGCCTGTGGCTTGCATGCTGGCTTGACCTACCTGCCTACACTAGATACCTACCTCCAGGCCTACATACACACTTCTTTACTTCTCGTTATTCTATCACAAGCACCGAGCTCCTTTAAAGGCAATACTACTGTAATATCAGTTATCAACCTAGACGCAACAAGAGACAGCAGCCAGCGACTCTTCCAATTTATTTTATTTTTTCTTAAATTTCTTTTGCTTTTTTTGCCCTTTTTGCCCTTTTTTTTTTTGCTTTTTCCATTATATCCCAGCCCTTGATGCAAACATTCTGCAGATTGCAAAAAAGATATCTTACCAACAACATCGCCTTTCTTTTCTCTCCCTTTCTCTTCTCCCTCCCTCCCTCCTTACTAAACGTGCTTCCTAGATTACTAGTCGTATTGGCCATCCATCTGCTCGGTATCGTAGTTTTCCGAACCCCCTATGTAGGTCGGCACTCTCGCAACGGTTGCCTATTTGACTTACTGCTACTTGATCAGTCATATTAATGGGCGTTTAAAAAAAAAGAGATATTTGCCCATATGTCATATTCCGTAAAATTGCACCGTCAGCCACTGTGCGTGAGAGGGCCTCCTACGTACTACGAATATCGCCATTCTCTTTTGTTTTTGCTGTAAAAATCTGTAAGGGGACGATATTGGAATCCCAGCAAATTAGTTTGCGTCGGGCAGTGATGAAAGATGCCGAAAACTCTCCCCTTTTGGAGGGGAGAGAGGCTCATCAAACTGGAGTATTCTAGCCAGGAAGGAGAGATGGTATCGTGAAGTGCGGACAATCAATGCAAGTTACACTTAGGTCGTAGAGAAACGTGAAATTCCCTCTACTTCTAAGATGTTATTGGTCTTTTTGTAGCCCTGGTCCCCTTTTTGTGCTGCGTTGTCCATGCCAAAGCTCTCGGTATTGCAGAGGTCTCTTCAGTTCAAACTGTATATATCTCCTTGCTCGGTGTCTCAGTATCTTGATGACAAACTATCTTGGTTTGCACATGACCATGGCCATATTGTAAGGATGAATGCCTTATGTAGCGTGATCATGTTCATCGAAGCTTCACGCCTGTATAGGCTGCTTATTGCCCCATACACAATAGGCCATGTGCTTCATGGCGCTCGGTGCATGACTCTTGTGTCAGCAACTCTAGGTAGGTAGGTATACTATTACTTAGATAATAATATCAAGATAGTAAGAGGTTGTCACGGGAATAGTATTCCTACAACGCCACAAACATTCACTCCTATAAATAATTCAAGCTGGGGGTTAAGTATAGCATCGATTAATACTCCCGTGCTATCAGACGTACACATGCTCACCCAATCAGCAACACCATATGCCTACTTCGTGTATTTGATGTAAGACCTGTAACCGGTGACAAAGCTAAAGAGCCTACACGTATGCAGGTCAACTACCTAATCTAGATTCCTACGGACCCCAAAGAGCTTTATGCATGAAGTTGGAGTAGTCAGGATTCCCACGTGTTCATAGCTCGAGGACGGGACGTCTTTTGTCCACCACTAGTCTACATAGGACTTTTTTGTCCAACCTGACTTCGGAATATATGCAAAACTGGTAAGGTAGCTTAACCCACCTACTGGGTAGTTCGCTATATACCGAGCCAAGCTATCCAGGACGTGCTCCCTATCCGGGATGATATCACGATCCCGGGGAGATAGAAACTAGAAGATTGGGAGGTTACTGTTTATTCAAGGTTGTTTGCCTACCTGGGTTAGATAGAAATGAAAAGGGGCCAAGGGGTACTAACGCCGTCTGAGCGGACGTGAATACTATTAGGTAACACACATATATACCTACCTATACGGGATAGCTATTCTGCCAAGGAGGAAAACAAACTACGCTCACTCATCTCAAGAGTTACTATCGTTCATCCAGAGACATCATTGCATTCAAAAATAACTATACACCAAGATACCCTCCCCTATCCAACCCAATCCCGAGCCCTTACCCCCCTAACCTCCCTAACAACTAAACACCCCCGGCCCCGCCGGCTGATACGCCTTGCCGCCATTATTATAGATATTGATCATGATGCCCGGGTCCGTCGCCTTGTACGCTCCGGGGAACGAGACCAACTCACCAGGTTCCTTCGCGGAGCCGGAGCCACCACCGGTGACGCGCAGCTGCGCGCAGGACAGATAGAACTGCGCCCCGCCGGCGGATGACGCCGAGTGTAGCGCCACGTGCTCGACGCGGAAGAGGTAGTCGCCCTCGGCGAGGCACTGCGGGACGGTGAAGGGGATTTGGGATTTGCCTGAGGGTCGTGTTAGTAAAGTACCACCTAGTAAGGCTGGTTTGTTGGCTAGGTTGATAGGGGAAAAGGGCGAAGAGGAGGAGTTACCGTTCGAAGGCCAAGTGTACTGTCCGCCGGACGTGGTGGGCATGTCCTGGTAGATCTTGAACCAGACCTTACCGCTGCCGTCCCAGGTAGCGGCCGTCTGGCCCGAGGGGACCTTGGCCATGTAGGCGGAGAGAGCTAGTTAGTGGTGGTATTTCGTTAGCAACTCGACTTTGCTTATAGAGCTAGGTAGGTGGCTGGGTAGGAAAGGTAGGCAGATCTCGAAACGTGAGTGATATATGAGTGTTGATGACATACTATAGATAGATAGAGAGGTTAGCTTGAGATCCCATGGTAACTTGACTTTTAAGGGGAATTCTGATCTTCATCTGAGGGGTTCCCCTGACCACCTACAACGGAATGGTTCATAGAATGCCCAAGGGGAAAAGAATAAGCAAGACTCCATACATACCCTCCAGGATGATAGATATTCGGGTTAGCAACCCAGGTAACCGTGCCACCAGCCTTGACCTCCGTAGTCTCCGCGGCGCCGCCGGTAGCCTGCTGGTAGCATCGGATGGCGTCGGAGTTGACGTCCGTGACGGGGCCGTTGGACTGGAAGTTGGCCGTCATGCGGACGGAGGACCAGTCGGCGGTGCCCGCTAGCTTCGGGAAGGTGTCTAAATCGTGAGAGGGTTCTGGTTAGATATATTCTGAGGTGTATATCATCTCTCTGTCCGTGTATCCAACAACGTCCTCTCAGGGACGACCTAGAAAGGAAGGAATGGAATATATAGGTACATGGGTATATATTTACGTACAATGAGGAGCAGCCCTCGCGCCAGCCGCAAGGAGCGCGAATGCAGCGACGGCCTTCATTCTCGCTAACGTTCTTCTCGAGAAAGCAAGTTCAGGTTTTCAAGCAAAGGTCGCAAAGGTCAGAAAACAAGCACTAGATAATCTCTTATGCGGATTGTATGACTTCAAAGATCCACGACAGACGAAAGTACAGGATTCCCTGCCGGCGACAGGCCGTCATCTTATAATAGTTTTGCCAAGGGGTGGCTGCAGAAGGACCCAAACCGAGACGGAGTATGAGGTTGCGTTTACCGGGTAAGGGGAGAACACCCCCTGTATAAGCGGATAAAAAGAAGTCATTCCCGGTTATATTCGACAGCCACTTAGAAGCCTTTGGAAACCACTTGGGCATACACAAGACTGCCACACCTCAACAATCCTACCACGATCTAGTCGGCAATGTTATGGAATAGCATAGTTTATAGACGCACCCAAAGTTGTAAGCGACCAAAAATAAAGCAGCGTCGTTGCTAATGTGAACAAGCACGATACTCTGATGCAAAGCAGCTGTCTAGAGAAATGTGCTCTGCTTACATCACATATGATCGCAGCCAAAGAAGATTATCCATTAGTTTTTGGTCCATTAATTCATGCTATGTAACTACTTACTCATCGTCTCCTAGTGAGACTGGATGAGAAACTCTACCTAGACATGCAAAGTTGATGAGGGCCTTCAACGGCGCCTCCATACTGGAAGTGAGTCAGTACCTAAGTAAGTAACATACCTCTTCATCGACCTAGAAGTCGAGAATATGGAGACCGTATGAAGTGTCAGATTAAAATACCCCTCTGTAAAACCAAAGCAGACTTGCGTCTCTGGTATCTGATCCATAGCCCTGCACTTGTGGCATCATTGATCGGACAACCATCTCGAACCTGTGTTTTGCTACACGAAATTAGAAGACTCGATTTGGCAACCTCAGTGGAGATGCAAAGAGCTTCGCGACATGTCGACACTAACGACATTATAACATCCGTACCTCTAGACGCAACGCCATCTGTGCATATGTGCAATCAAAAGGAAATCAGAGAAAATGCAAATAATCCGACGGAAACCAGACGACTTTTGGAGTGTTCCATGACACGAGTTTAGATGAGTCAGGACGAAAATCACCATCGGCGATTGTTGATAGGCAGAGCATTTGCACCACCAGCGCCACCACCTGGTAACGTATATTCGTCAGTTACCCGTTCATCGTAAAACTGGGACCGAGGTTATCAAAACCTACCTCGGTGACCACCACCACCACCACCGCCGCCACGGCCGTAGCCTCGTCCACCGTAGCGGCCTCCACCGCCACCACCACCATAGCGAGTCATCTCATGCAGCCGAGGATCAATCTGCTGCTTAGCTTCTTGAAGAACTGCAACTAGATCACGAGCCTGCTTAGAATCTAAAAAAAAGAAAACGGTTAGTCTTAAGTACTAAAAAAAAATCCTTAGATGTTAAACGACTTACTGTCAGCGGTAAAGAGGGTAATGGCAGTGCCCTTGGCGCCAGCACGACCAGTTCGGCCAATACGATGGATATAATCTTCCGAGTTGTTTGGATAATCATAGTTGATCACGTGAGTGATGTTGCGCACATCTTAATAAGAGCATGTTAGCAAAAGCGAAGCAACGGGTCATGCAACAAATCCCAGCAACCGGTGGACGGAGCCTTTTAAGTATATTTTCCGTGCTTTCTCCTCGGAGAATGGGGCTGTCTGTTGCATCAACATGCCAGTTTGGACGAGTTCCAACAATCCGGTCTGGGTCCTCGGAACTGGGAATCAGGAGACAGCTTGACGCACGATCAAGAAATGCCAACTCCGCAATTGTACCATGGGAACGGAAAGGTACAACAGCGGAACAAGGGTATAGCATTACGGCTATACCATGGATCCCAAAATTCCTGGATAGATGAGAACCACGAGACACGATAGGAAGTTAGGCAAATGCGCGCAATCGAGAAAGCCCCTAAACATGAGAGTAAAGCACAGCGGATACAACTCTGCTGAAGATTGCTACGAAGTGTAGAGGGAGGGGGGGGAAGGGGGGATGCAATCATACCAATACCACGAGATGCCACGTCGGTGGCAACCATGATGGGACTCTTTCCAGTCTTGAACTGGTCAAGGACCCAATCTCGTTCATTTTGTTGTTTATCGCCGTGGATGGCTATCAGAATATTAGCTTTGCTTTGAATAAAACCAAGAATGCATATTGAAACTTACAAAGTGCCGGCCAGCCGTCTTGTCGGAGGAATCGAGTAATTTCGTCTGCGACACGTTTCGTGCCGACGAAAAGTAGACACTTGTTCTCTTTGTTGTCCATAATCTTCTCGAGATGCTTGATCATGCGATCACGCTTCTCACCCTCAGACACTACCTCAACAATTTGGGTAATACGATGGTTAGCAGACAAGTCCATGGAACCAATGTTAACCTGGATAAAGTCCGTCTGGAATTCAGAAGCCAACGCACGAACTTCCTTGGGCCAGGTAGCAGACCACATGAGAGTTTGACGGTCGGGTCGAATCTGGCTGATGATTTTACGAATCTGGGGCTCGAAACCCATGTCCAGCATGCGGTCAGCTTCGTCAAGTACGAGGTAAGTAACACGGCGAAGATTGGTCTTGCCACCCTCAAGCATGTCGATGAGACGACCGGGCGTGGCGATACAGACCTCCACTCCCTTAGTCAAGTCACGAATCTGAGGGCCACGAGGGACACCACCGTAAACACAAGTGTTACGGATTCGAGAAGATTTACCAAACTTGGTAATCTCTTGTTGAATTTGGACAGCCAACTCTCGCGTAGGTGCAAGGACAAGGACGATTGGACCATCGCCAGGAGCCAAAAGCGGCTGCGCGTTGATGTGGACAATAGCGGGAAGGCAGTAAGTTAGAGTCTTACCGGAGCCCGTCTCGGCAATACCGACGACGTCGCGACCGGAAAGAGCCATTGGCCAACCTTGAGATTGGATAGCAGTGGGGGCAGGGAAACCTTGGGCCTTGACTTCATCCATGACATAACGAGGAAACCCAGCCTCATCGAAGGTTTCGACGGGCTTGGGTACATCAGTGCCCTGGATGGCGATTTGATGATCTCGGCGAAATCGTTCAACTTCGCTAGCAGGTCGTCGAGCGACAGCGTCGTCCTCTTTGTAGAATGATTTTTCGAATTTTGGCATGGTACCAAGATCTGTTGATAAACGCGTCAGTCTAAGATCAAAAGAGCAAGATATCGTAGATTTACTTACCCCAGGTCTGCTTATGAAGACCAGCTCCGAGGTTGGACATTCGGTCACCACCACCACCACCGCCACCACCGCCGTAGCCACCGCCAGCACCACCACCGCCGTAACCATTTCTATAAGGGAAGAATAATTAGCATCAAATGTAGGGACAGTGGAGAGGGTACAGGATAAGGAATATGCATTTTAAGACGGAAAAGAAAGGCATGGTTCATTTGCTTACCCATAGTCCTGGCGACCACCTCCGTGACCACCACCACCGCCGCCGCCGTACTTATCATGGCCATTTGAGTAACCACCGCCGCCACCACCATGGCCGCGAGAGCCGTAACCGCCGCCGCCGCCGTACGACATATTATCTCTTTTGGGTGTTGGTAAGAACCTAAAAGAGGACAGAATGAAGACCGAGTCAAAAAATGCTCAGCGCAAACGAGGTTGGTATTGGGTATTGAGAGGAAGAAATCGGATTGAAGAAGTGCTCAGAGCGGAAAAAGCCCTTTGGGAAATATTATCTGAGAGCAGCGTGCAATCTGCAGAAAAGGAGCGGATGTTATGTAGATGAGATGAACACTGCAATAAAATGCGCGTGTTTTTTTGATGAAAGGAAGGGCGTGTTGATGAGTTTGGGGAGGATGAAGAAAAAAAGCCAAAAGTCAAGTAGCGGTTGAATAATTTTTTTTTAGTCGCGAGGGAAGGGACTAAGTCTAGACCCAACAACAACTCCGATTGGTGGTCCGTGCTTGGTGTTGGGATGGTTTTTCTTTTTTTTCTTTTTTTCTTTTTGCCTCTTCCATTTATACACTGTACTAGCTGATTAGATAAGACCCACAAATATTAAGTGCTATGCACATTTGGTGCTACATACTGTGGGAAATTCTGGGAATTAAACTAATCACAATATGTACCTAAGGTACCTAGTGGTACTACTATGAGTCGCCACTATCATAAACAATAGCGTCAATGGTAGAAGAACTACTGTATTTGAGAAGAATTCGGCAGTGCCGTACCCGTTTTAAATTTTTTGATTTTCCTTTAAAAAAAATCGTGGACTAAGGTGTCGCTGCCTCCGTATCTACTAGATACGCCGCACGCTTTTAAGGCCTATTATGAAGATACACAGTAACTAGTACATATCTTAGTGCCTGCTACGCAATTAATGAGCAGTGATAGCACTATGCAGACACATCATATGTCATATGTCATATATACATATATGCTATCTATGAATCATGGCGTCTAACTATTCATTGTGCCTGCTATTTTATCATAACGCCTAACATTGAATAATTCTTTTACGCATTACATACGTACCGACTTATGCTAACTTGATGGGAACATCTCCCAAAACCCAATCTCCATCTGTTTCTCGGTTAGCATGCTTCAAAATGTGTGGTTGATTAGTGATATCTTGCCTTGGTAGCATGAATGAATATCTTGACAAGTTCCTCTATCCTAGCTGGGGATTGCAGAATTGCCTTTTGCTCTATAAGAGCTGTTTGCAACACATACATTAGCATCTCGCAAGACGGTTTTATAGTCAAGTGCTCGCTCTCTGGAAGGAAATCTCACCGGATTCGGTCTGCAACGCCTGCGCATCATCGGCGACAACGTAGTTCATAATCCACAGCCAGTATGTATTGCCTTCCTTCTTCGTTCTTGGGTCGGCTTGTAGTTGTTTCGCGATAGCACCGTAACCAAATAGACACGGTGCAAGCGCGATCTGAAGAGCAAGCCAGTCTTCAGACTGTCCAATGTCCAGCACGTATCTCGTATAAGCAGTGCACGCTGGCAGGTCAATCAGCAACTGGAAGCCAATATAGGTATGTGATAGTTCATGAAAAAGCGATTTCGCACCTTGATGTTCCTCGGTCGCTTGTATCTCCTCCTTCGATATACCGAATTCTTTGCAATACTCGATATGAAGATTCATTTCAGTATGGATGTGTGACACTAATCTTGCCCCCTAGAAAAGCCCTGTCAGCATCAGGTTCTCACTCACATGACTGGTAGGTAGTATTCTGTTAAGGGGTTGCATACCGCTTGGATGTCGTCTATATTCTTAGCCTTGTATGAGGCTAACGCATTTGCCCTTGCAAAATGGATCAAATACAGATAATCCTGTATCAGATAGCCTTTGAACGACTCCAAAGGCAACTCCCCACTCCCTAGGCCCAAAACAAATGGATGGTTAATGTAATCCTGCCACACTGGCGCTACGTCAGGTCGCTGCAGGAGATACTCTAAGAAGTGTCCGCTTGTCACTGTTAGTACCATCGTTACATCATGACGTGGGGGCGGGGAAGACTCACGGAGCAAAAGGGAGTGTTAACATCGAATGAAAGTGGTTAATCGGGCCGTTCCCTTTCCCGTATCCAGGCGCGGACTTGATACCTGCTCCAACATACCGGCAAGCAGCCTTGGCCGCCTCGACAGGTTTTAGCCCCCTAGAGAGATTAGAGGCAATCGCAGAAGCAAGAGAGCACCCAGTCCCGTGCGTGTTGCTTGAATCTATGTACGGGCTCTCGATTATGGTAGCCTGGCCCTCTCCGAAAAGGAGATCAACAACCATCTCTCTTTCTTCAGGGGTCGTAGCTATAGTACCGTCTTTCTTAAACGGTACGTGCCCGCCTTTGACGAGCACCCACTTGGGTCCTAACTCGAGAATTCTTCGAGCAATTACTTCCAAGTCCTCCACTCGTCGAATATCGACGGCTTCTTTGCCACCATCAGACATCAAGAGCTTTGCTTCTGGAATATTTGGCGTGAGTATGAATGTGTGGGGGAGTAGCAGGGTTCGCAACTCATTCACAGCTTTCGAAGGCAGCAACTGGGAGCCAGTAGTGGCAACCATGACCTGTCAAGAGATGAGCTCCATGATATCGTGCAACCCTTCAGTAAGAATCGGTTGAGATAAGGACACCTACAGGGTCCAACACCAACGCCTCAACCTTGTAATCCTTCAGTGCCTGTGCGACCATCTCGATGGTGCGTGCAGAAGCTAGCATTCCTGAATAGCATGTTGGTAAGCCTCGAGATGAACAAGGACAGATGGAATACATGGGAGTCTGACTCACCTGTCTTCACGACACCTGGGTGAATGTCACTGAAAACAGCATCGATCTGCTTCCTCACAAACTCAGGAGGAATATGATGTATGTCAGCAACACCTGTGGTATTCTGGGCCGTCAAGGCTGTTGTTGCAGTCATGGCGTAGCAGCCATGAGCAGCAATAACTTTTTGGTCTGCCTCGAGACCACTATGAGCGAATAGGAGAGAGGGTGTTAGCGAAGGTGTTTAAAATTGGAAACAGAGTATTATAAACTTACGCACCACCACTTGAGTCGCTGCCTGCGATGACCAGAATCCTCCTATTGTCCATGATTAATCTCTCCAAAATTGGTAAATCAGCCAAGGTAAACAGTCTCCCCCCTTTTCAAAAAAAGAAACAGAGATTATTGGCCGAGACCAATGAAGAATTCAGCTTTGCGCGCGATTTTACTTTTTTGAGTTTCTCAGGATTAGCACGATACTACGTACCTAACTTAGTATTTAGGTACTTGTGCCTCAGCTATGAGATGCACACTGATGCAGTGTTGCTGCTTGTGCTACTTCGGCAGTCAGCAGTCTAAGTGGGTCCATGCCATCATCTCAACTACTACTAGTAGTATCCATCCACACACCATCCTAACTTACTGTGTTTACATTCAATGCTTTCAATTGCAGTAACTACGACTTCACTAACCCCTTACTAATACACAGTAGGTTCATGTTAGTACTAGGTAAGGCTAAGCAGGTACATAGTACTCAACCCTCAAAGATAGGGGTAGCCCCTATTTTTTAACAGACACCTACATAGTAGGTACCTACCTAAAGTAGTAGGCAGCCGACGAGAGAAACGAGAGACGAAGAAATAGGACGGCGACATGTGGCAGCAACAGAAACAAAATATTTGGCGTCTAAATTGAAGTACCTGGTCTCTCTATGTATACCTCCCCATCAAAGCAAAATGCGTACTCCGAACTCCCGCCTGCCAAAAAATAAAATAAAAAATAACCTACTCTAATAATACTGATACAAGAATCGAAACCCGAATCCAATATGCACATACCTCCAGTTGTTTCTCAATAGCGCCTGCCCTTCTATCCCCAACCCAGTCTTCTTTCTCCCTTATTCCCTGTCCTTACCCCCCTAATCCCCCCTTTTCTAGACGCAGGTCAGTAAGTGACTTCACGACGACAATCATGCCACCCCCCCGGGATCCGGGAACCCCCCCATCTGCCCCTGCCCCATCTGCTCCCCTGCCCACCCCTCCGCGCCCTCATACCTCCCAAACAGCCACCTCAGCCTCGCAACATTACTCCTCAGCTCGTCCCTCTCCCCCTCGAGCGCCGCGCACTCCCTCTCCAGCGCCTGTATGTGCCGGCGCGCCATGTCGAGCACCTCGGCCTTGCTGACGCGGCGGTCCGACAAGTCCATCAGCCCCTCCCCGTCGCCGTTGGGGTTGGGGTTGGGGTTTTCGTCGCACACCTCGCCCGCCTGCATGTTCTCGGGCAGCGCGTCGAGCAGGCTCTCGAAGTGCGCGTTCAGCCGGTTGCGGTACTGCTTCTCGACCTGGTTGTGCGTGTCGCGGCTCTTCTGCTCCTCCGCCGTCGACGGCGGGTTGTGGTGCGTGTTCTTGCTGGTGCGCGAGGCGCTGCGGAGCCGGCTGGACTTGTTGCTGTGGTGGTGGTGGTGGTTCGAGGTGGAGGATGTGGTGCTGCCCGGCGAGAAGACCTGCTGTGCGCTCTTGGACCGCTTGTTGTGGTTGTTGCTGTTGCTGTTGGTGGTGGTGGATCGCGATGATGCGTGTTTTTGTTTTTTGCTGCTGCTGGAGGGGGGTGGGCTGGTCATGGCTACGGCCCCGTAGCCCCCCTGGGTGCTGTACCCGTGGTGGTAGGGCTCTCCGGTGTCGAGGGACCGGGATCCCGCTGGCACGGCTTGGTAGTACGAATAGTCGAAGGGGTCCACGGCGGGGGGGCTGAACGAGGGGGTGCTAGATAACCCGATGTTCACGTCTGGTATGGTATGGCCGCCTGCGACGTAACGGGCGTTTCCCTGGACCGGGGTAGGGGGTAGTGGCTGGCTTTGGTAGCCCATCATATTCTCCGAAGTTACACTTGGTGTAGTGGTTGAGTAGGCAGTATACGAGGCCTGTGGGCCCCCCGAAGATACGTGTTGGTTCCTGTAGTAGGACTCGTCAGAGACAAGCACCGCTGGAAACTGTTCTGATGAAGAAACCATCTGCATATTGATGGTCAGCGGGTAGGTTACTTTTCGGTGTTCTCAATGTCTCTCAAAGGCTGTTTATGGTCTATTGGTTCTCAGGGGCTTTTATGTTGTGTGTCCGGGAGGCTGGTTTTAGTACTGGTCTCAGTCCTGCACTTCTTGGGAGTTTAATGAGACCTGACAGAAGCGATCGCATTATTTCTGAAATCGGCAATGAGGTGGAAACAACAGTAAAAATAGACAGGCTAGGTCTCCTACACCCCTCGGGATTTAGGCAACTTGAAGCACGTACCGGTAAGGTACTGAAGGTAGGGGGAGTGTTCTAGATGACAAACTTACATGAGGTGGCTTATCAACCGGATCGCCACGGTGTGAAGCTTTGTACGACATCCAAACTCATGCCTCGCTTGATAGGAAAGATGGAGGAATTAATGGTAAGACGTGAGTATCGAAAGGATAATTGTAGTCAATGGTGGGTGGCCATTTGCAAGCGTAGGTACCTATGTAGTCTATATAGTAGGTTTAGATGGATGTACTAGGACTGAACTTCTCAGCAGATATAAGCCTTCATCCTCTTTAATAGACATTTCATTATACAGTATTATCTTACAGACCAAGACCTCGTTGTTAAGAAATGCTTAGCCAATCCAAATTACCTTGACAACCGAGTGCTCAGCTAAGGCCCCCTATCCAGCTTCCAACACACACACAATACCAAATTAGGTGCCGAGACTTTAGGCTCCAGAAAAAAAGAATGTTCAAACAACATTTATCTTTAGGCCATCTGCCACGTGCTACCGTGTATATACTTCTTGACGCCTTTGTGCTGTTTCGGCCGTGGTTCCCATAGGGCAGACCGGAGGATGCATGCGCCCGAATAGCAACTACCTTGGAAATCACTCCTGGTTGCCGCTCGGAACGAACCCCGCTCTCCAGCCACCGGGTACGCTTGAAGTAGCATTTTTCATTGTCGAATGCTTCTATATGGAGCCCCTGGGAGTTATTTCCTAACGCGGGAGTCGTTTTCGATCAAGATCCTCCTTAGTCCTCGAAACACCAGGCAGCAAGGGTCCCGATTCATCGACCGTTACCCGAACGGCTTTTGTGCTACAACTAACCCTTGCCATTAAATGCGTTGAATTAGTACACTCCGTTAAATCAGCCTGTTAAAAGGGGTTCCCTATCGTGGCAGGTAGGCTCTGTTGGGTCCAGATCTAGGTACGGCTGAGTGACCAACTAGGTATGTAAGCGACGTTAAGGCATAATTTCATATTGTCTGTGACAACTCCTGCATTATAGAGATATATTTATACTTAGGTGGCGTAGCTGTGTGTTGGTTATAGGTATATGTTTCTAGATTGCAAGAAGTGATATTGTCAGCCATCCCTATTACGGGGTCTTGCCGCGATTTTATCCATGCATATAGATCCCTTTAAATCCGTCATCGGTCCCGACAATCGGAATCAAAGTGATATGTGATATACCACGTAGGCACACATATATAATTAGACATGTATGCGATGGCACCTTTAAACTGAAGCGCGAGAGAACATGGTGGAATATCTGGGTGTTGCCTTTGGTTAGGTAATGCTTCCGACTGCTGTTTCTTAAACCGGCCGTGGTTGGTAGTTGATTCCAGTGTCAATAGGGTGAGAATCACGATCATGTAACAGAGAATTTGTGATGGCTTATTTGATGATACCTAGGTTGAAACTAGAAAAACGACGCGTTTAGGTACTGGGTGTGCATTTCTTACAACTTGGGCCGGTTCCGTAGGGCATGATGCATCGCGGATCTTTTGATTAATTTTGATTTATTTTCTTTTTTTATGATTCGCCCGATAAACCCAAACTCATTGTACCATCCTTTCGTGAGGTGCCCAAGCAAGTAAGATGCAAGAAGGGTTTCATTAAGGAGGATCACCAATCCCGTTGGAGGCATGACTGTTTGTAACGGTGGTAAGCGACGTATCCGTTTTGAGTCCTAAAATGCGGTTCCATTAGGGGTGAGATTCTGGAAGGTTGGGATGGAGTAAGAAACAATATGTACTATATATATCAACTTCAGGGATGTATTGTCATTATTAGACCATTTTAGATATGTTCAATACGTAGGCATCTACCTGGTGTTTACCATCTAAGTACCCTTTCATTACCTTCAAGTATACATATGCCAAAGCTATGACCAACATCCAAGCTATTAAGGATCATCTTTCTCATGGCCATATACTCGACGTTGAACTCCATGCCCTCGTCTTCAACGGGTAGAGAATCAGTTTCTTGTGGAATGGTTCTTCTTGTTACGGTTGCTCTATCGCACTCGCTCAAGTGGGAGATGATCGATGATCCGGGAATACACTCTCGCGAAATAGGGGCTTGCTGGGAGCCCCACGATAAAGCTCCGGCTTAACCTCCTCTCAACCTAAGTGGCAGTCCACACTACTGGGTGCCTTACTAATGAGTCAATAGTCATTCTTTGCCGTATGGAATTGTCTAGAGAATGAGACGCTAGACCTTCGCTCGGACTGGTCATTTTAAAGGATATAGTTGTCAACCAAGGCGGCTCTACCCGCTGCTTGCGGTGTCTTGGTGTCAGGGGTTTCTGTATGATGGAACGACGCCACGTGCATGTGCCAATGCAAGACCGAGAACTTGTTAACGCATAGTACGGATGTTCAAGGAGGGAGTTAGGTAAAAAAAAATCCACAGTAGGCTGCCGACTTATGCTACTCGAGCCTGTTACCATCACCCTCTCTGCGACTCAGATGACTGGAACCTCTATCCGTCATGCGGGTTCTATATCCTATGATGCTGCTTTATGTGAATGGTTCGTAATCGTATCAATCTAATGCGAGGACTGGCAAAACCTTCACACCGATTCCTCAGAGAGATGCAGTGGACTGTGGCTGCCTTATGCTTCTCCTAACGGCACCACACAGCTACGGCTGTTGGCAATCATTCTGTCTCGATTGGCTGCTTAGCTGAGGTCTCGACGAGTTACATACTATTTACAAAGACTCTATCCAACTGGGCTCTATCGGCCCCTACTCGAGCAAAGCCTAAGAATTCACTACCCATCCGAGTGGCAAATTTGATACGCTGATGACACGCGGTGGCTGTTTGACATGTGTTGTCTTTGCTTGACACCTGGACTGAATAGTTCATAGGCTGACAGTGCATTAGGTCAGGTACCAAAAATGTCAGAGGGCTTTTATGCTTATTAGTCGCTATCGGGCACCAACTTGTCTTCAAAGGGGAGGAAGAACCAAGTACTGATAAACTCACAGTATTTAATATTCTACGGCTTAACTGTTGGTAATAGGAGTGAGTTACATCGTGAACGTCCCCAGGGGTTGGTTGGAACGATGGCCGACATGATTCTCCAACGAATGAACTTGAGATATTCGCGATGGCCGCTCAGTCCCGGAAATGAGATGCTAGAGTCGTCGTCAGCTTTGTGTTACGTTTACCAAGACTGCTTGGGTAATGGATTCCTTCCGATCGACTACCAAGGACATCTCCATCAGCTTACAGTTGTCTGGCACTGCTGTCAGGTCGAAGTTGGTAGCGCATGGGATTTGGGAGGTGCCAACACTTCATTCATCGCCTTAATATCACTAATAGAATGCCCTATGGCTAACTATTTAGGTAGGGTAGTCTATATCTGCTCTTTATCAAAGCGAAAGGGTGTAATGAAGTCTGTGACTGGCTAAGTTCAGCCCCTGGATATCTCAAGGGGCTGCTACATCTTTGGAGTCGTCACGAGACACTAGCGCTGCAGTTTTATACTAACAAACATCGAGTCTACCTCGAGTCTATATCATAGTCTACTCCAGCAAAGATATACTAGGCTCACTGGAACCTACAAGGTCATTCTTATTCCTATGAAGGCCGGATTACTTCCCTATGAAACCCTCATGCTGTCTCCTAGGACATCGTACTTGGCGAAGAACCAGTGCTATCCCTCTCCATTTTGCCGAATATAATTGAAGCGATTGGGCATATAGAGTCTACAACATACGATGAGCATACAAGACGTTATCCTAAACTTAGCTTAGGCGTCATGGTTGGGCCGTGTTAAGAAAACGCCTCATCATTACCTTGATACGCTCTTGCTCTCCGTGGATAGATATATGCTTACCTAGGTACCTATAACCATCTACTGACCCCTATCAGGGTTTAGACTGGGCGCCGCCTTTTTAAGATAGACCACGCCCATGCTGGAAGAAGGTAATAATAGCAAGAAAGGCATTGTATCTTCTTACTGTGCTTGATAGGCTTCATTCGAACAAATCAGATATCAACTGCGATGAGATTGGTATCCAAATACCGGCCTAGCTCTCCCTATAGATCCTATAAATCTCACTTATCCAGTATGAAAAGACTCAATGGTCCCACAGTGACACTCAGCTTCACATGACTGGCATCCAATTGGGGAGTGTCGACTCAGCTCGGTAGGATTTACACATTCGATCACGACGTCATAAAGGGCGGCAAAGGATTTGGCGAATGGTGCCTCATCCCGCAGATGGCGCCGATCGCACGAATCCTATTCAGGTGTACCCCTAATAATTATATGGGTGATACAATAGGTAGGGTCCAGTAGTAAAGCAGCTGGCAGTTGGCAGGTGCCCAGTTGGAATTGATCATTGGAGTGATTTTCCATGGGCGATGCTGAGCGTTTCCATTAGGAAGATTTATACCCTACCAGAGAAGATTCGTACCTATCTACCTAGTACCTACATAAGTACGTTGGCTGATCTGAAGAGGTACATAGGCATATACCTGAGCCCCGTTAGCATTTGAAGACATCAGATTTAGAATAGAGTGATGATGCGGTCCACATATAATAGTATCTGATACTATAAGTAGTGTTTTGTCTGTGAGGCACTACTACCTATGTATAACATCCATTAAGGCCCTTTTTAAGGGTTACGGCGTAGGATCTTCAGGATTTGTAGCGTGGGAGGAATAGGTAATTCGATCCTTGCATATGCGCACGCATGGTGGTAGGTAGGTAGGTAGGTATGTAGTAGTATACCAAGGTTACCGCCTTTCTTACTACGCAACGCTACGCTCTCAAACCAAGAGCGCCCTTGTAGAATGGTAGTATACCTATAGAAGGGCAATCGAAGGCAGCATCGTCGCCGGCATTGCCGTAACATCGCAACCCC